TCTCCAAACGGACTGCCAAGTGAACTAAAGCTGGATAGCGTTCATGAATGTGGAACGATATGTTATTGAGATATTTCATCGACAACTCGTACTGCATTGTTGTCACCATTTTCTGCCTGAACACCAAAAACTGCCATATCGCTGCTTTTATTCACGTACTTGCAGATATATTTAATCGATTTCACGGAATTGCAATATTCTACGTTGATGTGCGCTTTGTATGATTTTGACAATAGTGGTGAGTATGGAACCACCCAACGATTGTCTACCTCAATATCACCAATTCTCATGTTTAAATTTGCCGAAGTCCCTCCATCTTCAGTTGACCGTCTCCTATACAGAGGATATCCATCGTCCCCTGTTACGGTGTTGGCTGTAAATGCTCGAGGATATCGCTTGAAACACTTCCCGTCTACCATGCATGGTGAACATGGGTTGAGGGTACCACATGGGCCATGGATCATGTTCTTGATGACAACTTCATGCAAATCCGTATCAACCTCGGCCCATGGAATCTTAGCGCATATAACATCGTCGATTTCATCTGGAGTAATTTTATCATACAGCCAAATCAGTATGTGCGCATGCGGCAATCCTCTCTTCTGCCATTCTACTGAATACATCCAGCACCGCACAGATCCAAAAACTCCATGTTTCACAATAAAATCCATCAGTGACTTGAGCTTTTGTCTGAAAACACGGGCTGTGATGTCATGCCTATCCCTATACGATTGTCCAGGATATAACAGCTGTACTATCTCGTCCCAAGCTGGATTGCATGTGAAGGTGATTTATAAGTCTGGACGGCCGTAGCAACGAACATATGCCATGGCATTGTGACCATATTCATTCATGTGGCGTGGACTACCTATGTATGAGGATGGCAAAATCGTGAGCTTTCCAACGTTGGTTGTATTACGGTCATTCATCACAGCATCCCGCAAATGGATATATTCTTTGAACCGAAGTTTCGTCTGATTCAATCGAAGAGGCCTGACAGTATATGCAGACCTGATGCATCCGGCCAATACGGAATTCGATTCGAGCTGTAATCAATAGTTGGATTATATCTGAATGCAAGACGATTGTATTGCAGGTTTTGATCTTCTGCAAGCTGTAAACGCGCTTCAGCTACCCTTGCCCTGTCGCGTTCATTATTTTGAGAGTGAATCAAATCGATTGCTGCAGAACGCGAATGCCTAACTCTCAATCGTTTTCTCTCAAGCCTATCTGCTCGTCTTTCTGCTGATTCTTCGTTGTGCATCTGCATTGCTCTCAGCCGCTCAGTCTCTCGGATGGAGGCCCGTTCTTCGTCAGTCATATTCGTAATCTTACGTCTTTTTGCTTCTGTATTGCGAGTACGACGACCCAAACTCAACTTCTTGGGTGGCATGACTTCGTTTCTTACTGAACCTGAACAAAAAAATAAAATTTTTATCTCAATTCCTTATTTCAATATGTTTTGAATGTTAGACAGGAAATGCTTTGATTCAGCTGGCTGCCTGTAGAGGGCGGTAGATGTAAGGTAGTTTTTTTTTTTTTAACACCTTGGATTACGTTATCGTAATTTTAGTAAGGATGCCAATTTTTTTTTTAATGAAATATAGCCTATGTCACTCAAGAATGATGTAGCTTTCCAACAGTGAAAGAATTTTTCAAATCTGCCAAATAGTTTCGGAGCCTATTCAATTCATACAAACAAACAAACAAAAATCTAACCTTTCCTCGTTATATATATTGTATAGATGTATAGATTCTATATTCTATGTTTTATGTTTTATATTCTATTTTATGTTTGACACCAGCCCGTCCCATCACACTCTACTCACTCAGATTTATTTATTTTTTCTTTGATTTCTTCCTCAACGATGGGTGTCTGCTGGTATAGTTTGTCCGCAGTGAACAGTCGTTTCGTTTTCAGAAGATAATATTTTAACCATGTCACGGTCGCCATAAAGTTTTAAAATCATAGTTTAGTTTCTTAGATTCTTTATTTGTTTTGGAACAGCAATGGTGCCGCTCCAACGATCGAAGAATCTCTGATTTTTACATTATTCTTTAATTCAAATTAAGGCTAAGTCTCGTTGCTGCGCTGCTCGCAGGCGGCGGCAGAGAGATGCTATGAATGTATATACTTATGTATATAGGCTATGCTCTCTTAAGTTGGAGCGCGAGAGATATGCACATGTAGTCTGTTTGTGTTACAATTATGCCGACGCTAGCACTTTCTTTGTGCGGGCTAAGCCATAGCGATCGGTTCATATTTCGGCCATTTAGGGTTTATGACCGGGACCTTGAATTTTGTAGACACTGCAACAAAGTGTAACAGTGCGTACTCTTTAAGTACTCTCGGTACAGTGGGTATTCAATATGAGGGCATACTACAATGGGGTGTGTTTCCGATATAGTAATTGCATTTACACGCTTAAAGTCGATGACCATGCCATACTGCTTCTCCCATTTGGCTTTGGTTTTTTGGGCACTACCCTGAGGGGGGAGTTATAAGGGTTAGCAGATGATCATATTATACCCCCGTTCAGAAGTTCCTGGGTTCATCTCATGCTAACAGGTTATGGCTAAATTTCGAGTAAATATAGGGTTTTGGGTGCTTGGGCGAATTTCTGCTTTTACGATAGTATGCGCCCGTTCCCCTGGTGAAGCGACTGGAAAAGTGTGGCATATGTAGTCTTCAAGCAATTTTTCCAGTGCTTGTTTAATACCATCAGAATGTTCAGCATCTATTAACGGGTAAATATCGGAGGTATATTCGGCAATAAGAGGCAATTTGATCCCGAGGGATATCAATAGAATGATATTCTCTCTATCGATTAGAGCTTTCGTATATTTAAGGGTAACATCTTCAATGATGCCGTCAAAGGAATTTAGGTCGGGCGATATCTGGGCTGATGAAGTTTCTTTTTGCGCCGGTGTCAATAAGAAACTTAGCTTAGCCCTATTTTTTTGTACAATTTTCTATGTATGGTATGCTAGATACAACTCATCGGTGTTTTCGAGCCATGCGGTACCCTCACTATCGATTTCTTGTACTGACGGACCATACTCTGCACCAGTATTTTTAATACACTCGACGTACTCAACTTGGCAGCCGTTTTTCTGAGACTAAGGGGTGTTGATTGGTGGCTTCCTAAAACGGTTTGACCAGGGCGGGCCTGGTACCGAATTATTTTCGCGGCGTGCGCTAAACCCAGATTTGTAGGACTGCCCTGATCGATTTGACTTGATTTTGATAGGTGGTCGAGGCCCCTGAAACCATAGGGAAGCTCGCGATTTTCCAGGGGAACCATTACCGTAGCCCATTGCTATTGGTGTTTTAATGGGTGGTTGAAATGACGACGAGAATCGTTGCATTGGAACAGTATACCCACAATAAGGTGCGCCCGTTGGGTGGTACAATTTGGAAAATGAGTTAAATCTGTTTCCAAAACCACCTCGGACGGGGTTTTCTCTATAGGAGACATTCTGAAGTTCCAGGCAGAATGAAAATGCTTCTGGCAGAGTCTTCGGACCACGTATAAGTAGTAGCTTGGAAGCATCACGACTTAATCCTCTTATGAAAACGTCAAAAGTCTTTTCAATATGTGTTTCGATCATTGCACCTCTTACGTCAGCGGCACGGTCTCCCACTTTTAACTTGCTGAAAATAAGAGAAAAATTCTTGTTTTTCTCTATGTAATATTCCTCTGTAGTTTTGCTACCCTGCCTGAGCTGGCTAAGCTTGTAATCTAGAGTTCTCACGTCCCGTTTATCGCCAGTCATCCTGCTTGACACTATAGGAACCAAGTGCCAAATCGGAATGGCCCAGTGTAAAGGCCTACCTCTAATATCGTCATAATCGTTAAAATGGACTGTGCCCTGTTAAGACAAGACACGTACCTTTAGGGCTCGCGTTCGAACGTCTGGAGGTCTTTGACACAATCCGGTAATGTAACTGTCTGCTTTAGCTCGTCTTCGGTCTTTGAGCAAATCAATGGAATGAATTGGCTTATAATCGGATTACGGCTCTCGTAGTCTAGCTCAAGAGTTCTACTCGCTTGCATATTTTTTTTATATGTTCCTTTGCTCCCATTAACTGCTCAAGCGAAGCCATAAGCCCGTTGTAAAACTTGTTGAGAGTCTCCTTAATTTGCTCCAATATCACCCAAAAATCGATACTTAGGGACTGGGTACAAAAGTCTTTTGTGAAAAGTTCGCAAAAGACTGAGGAGGAAAAAATTTTACTTTATAATTGCAAATTGCAAAAACAAAAAGCTATTAAAAAAATAACGGAGGATTATAGAATAGTAGAAAACGTTTCACTTACTCCTGTCACAGGATGTGTTCGTCCGCTTCTTTGTGTATTGTTCCACTCATTCAATTACGAATTCTGATGATAAAGACAAAAAACTTTAGTTTTTCGAGGGCCTGACAACATCCTATCAGAGAGTGATCGCGGAGAATAGACCCGAAAAACTTGCTGGATATGTATAACGCTTGCATTACCAGTGGGAAATTCCCCGACATCTGGAAGAGGCAATGATTAGTTCTGATAAGTAAGGGCAAAGGGCTAACCCCATCAGCTTATCGACCACTATGTATGCTTGACACTACCGAAAGCCTACTAGAGTAAATGATCAAGCCACGACTATCAGCAACGATCGAAAGAGGTTGGCACTGTGCGCGATGGACCGAATTGTTCCGGATTAGCTAACGCCTACTAATTTACGGGTTCACATACAATCCACTAGGCTTTTTTTTTTTTGGTCCTTTTTTTATATTAATTTGTCGCCCGCAACTAAATATTTTAACATTCGCGGATGTACCGTCGGCAAGCCGCCGTTGTGGATAATAGATTTTTTTTTATTACCACGCAACATTTTGCACTCGCGGATAAACGGTCGGAAAACCATCGCAGTAGGTAATTGCCAATAATTTTGATTCTATTTTCACTTTCTTTGTATTCTTTTAATTTTTTTTTTAACTTACTTTTCTTGGTGTATATTTTTTGCACTTTTTTCTTCAATTTTTCTTATTATTTTGTGCTTGGCTCCAGTTAAGGTGACCTATTAAGGAGTCACCTGATGATAATCCTTTTCATCCGGATGCGTACAGGTAAATTCAATTTGTTGGAGTTAGTTTTAAATGCGTTAATCTTTTCAAGGGAATTAATATTTGGGTTTCTGTCAATATTTAATTTTAGGTATTTCTCGATGTGCGTTCCGTTCTGCTCTGCCGTCCAGTTTAGAATAATCACTCTTCCTCTCCACTAGCGTTTTAAGTTCTTCCAGCGAGCGGTCAGGCCGTTCCCATGGGCTACTCTTGTCATGTCAGGTTTCCGGTGAATCATCAGCTCTAGTCCTCACCACAGCCACAGCTTGCCATATTTTGTGCTATATTCGGATGTTTATCATTTGCTTAGTGTACTTAACAATAAGTTTCTTAAATTTATAGCTTAGATACAGGATTAAACTTATTATTGTAATTGCAAATTATGCGATATAAATAATTTGAAATAAGTTGTTGTATTTTTCATGTGAATTTATAATTTTTTTTAGTTTGTATGTATGGTTCTATTTTTGTAATATTGTTGTTAATATACAAAGGCAGTCAAAAGTATTTACACTTCGACCATTTTCATAGCCAAATTTCTTTTAGTTGTTTTTCTTGTTGTTGTTGACCGTTTTCCCTGAAATGTTCTTTATTGCGTAGCTTGATCTATGCAGAAGCGAGGCAAAAAGGAATTCGAAAGTTAACGGTTAATCGAAAAGTGCTATAACTAAAAGAATACAATGATGCACCTACAGTATAATATTTACACATAATTTGTTTTCGTCTTTATTTTTATCGCTATTAAAATTAAATAATATTTTTTGTGAAAATCTCATAAGTTTCTTTATTAATACTTAAATAAATTTGCATAGGTATCGATGGAGGCTTTCAATTGTTTGGAATTGAGTTTATAAAGCTATATCCAAAATAAATAGACATATTTTCTTTTGCTTTTAATTATCTTTTATCTTTTGTTTTCGTTTTCTGTTTGTTTTTGAATAAATCAATTTATTCAATAAAAAAAAAATGTTCATAAAAATCGGTCAACAAAAACAAGAATAATAACTCATATAAACTCATTTATTTGCATAGTACAATTTTTAACTTTAATTATTGCTTGTACAGTTTTGGTTTACTATAGAACCGTTTGGGAAGGGTATCTACGTTGGAGATTAGTGTGTATAAATCATTATAATTGGCACATAAGACTTTAAAAATTCAAGCAGTTCGAGGGCGGTTCTACAGTGGCGCAACACTAATGGTATATAGGATCTAATATTTCTACATGGTATGTGGCAATTAAGCTGACTCAACAAGTCAGCACTTTCCTCATCAATATGGATAAGGTTTTAAATAAAGGTTATTCCTAGCATCGTTCTACGATTGACTAAGGACGGGAAGTTTATAAAGGGGAGTCTATTTAAGAAGGAAGATAATCTTTGGTCTGCATCCCAATTTAAACCGCGTAGAGCGAAAAGTAAAAAGTAAAAAGTTCTTTTGAGCCTACTCGATGCATTTGCTATGGACGTCATACTGAGGGCGCGAAACGCAGCATCCATTTTCTAAGATAGAACGAACTAAAAAGTATATATGGATTTAGTGACATAGGGGTCATTGAATTCCTTCCACCACCGTTTAATAAATCCAAGCACACCCTTGGCTCTATTCACCATAGACGAAATATGATCAATAAAGTCAAATTTTTGTTTCCAAGCGGACGCCAAAATCATCATCAGAATTAATTCTTTGCAAAGAGCAGCAGTTCAGCGTGTAAGTCGCAAGCTTAGGAACGACACGAGAGAATGTCATTAGCTTGCATTTCGTGTCATTTAAGTTTAATAAGTTTACATGGCACCAAGTTTGAAAATTATTAAGATCTGTTTGTAAATCCGACTGGCAGGCAACGTCATTATATTGCACGCAAACCTGGACGTCATCCGCGTACATAAGCACTGTGGAGTTAGTCAAGACTTTGAGTAGGTCATTTATAAATAATGTAAGCAATAAGGGTCCCAAATGGCTTCCTTGCGGGACTCCAGATGTAACCCTTAGAACATTGGATAAATTATTCTTAAAGAGGACCTTTTGCGTCCTGCCATTCAAATAACTTGAGATCCAATTTAGAAGATCACTTGGAAAACCCAATAAATCGAGGAGAGAATGGTTAACACAGTTAAATGCTTTACTGAAATCAGTTTAGATTATTTTTGTCTGAAAATTATTATGGAAGCCCTTTATAATATAGGAAGAGAGCTCCAAAAGATTTGTTGTTGTTGATCTTCGCTTAATAAAACCATGTTGACATGGAGAAATAACTGATCTACAAAGGTGCAGTAAGTGAGGGGTGATAATGTTTTCGAACAATTTAGGGATGGACGACAACTTAGGGATTCCTCTATAATTGCTGGCATCCAAATTGCTACCTTTTTTGTGAAAAAGAATAATAAACGATTCCTTCCAAATAATGGGTGTCGGGAGCAGAAGCAGCAGATTTAATATTAAATGTTTTAAATCATTATTTGTAAACAAGCGATCAGCTGCGGCAGAAGCTTTCCACCTCATAAGCCGGCATGAAAGCTCTTCCGCCGCAGCTCTTCTGTTTGGTTTATCTATTCTCTCGTTTCATTCGCTCACTTACGTTGAAACTAAAAACACACAAAAACTTTGTAACCAAACCACACACAAGCACACACAAATTAAAACATAACTAATTTTACGCCAACACAAAACAAACCCCTCGCTAAATCAATTCGCTTAATAGGTGGCATAAATTAATGCCCTCCTCAAAACATTTGGTGACCCCGACGTGATCGCGTAAAAAATCGTTTTCGTTAAAATAAAAGGTGAAAGGTGCCTTTATATACATAGTTCGTATGCTCACACAATACAATTGCATATCGTTGCATCGCTATTGAACTTTATCGGTACATTCGAGTACATAGCATCTCTTTATATATTTGTGCACTAGCATATAGTTGCAGCCCTTTTATATACTTTTCGTGCAAATTGTGTTTGTGCTGTTGGTTTTGGTGGTCCGATAGAACCGTTAGCTCGTGGTCAGTGAACGCCAAGCTTGGCTCCGCTATTCTTTCGTTCTCTATTCTCTGCGTTTGGTACAGCTGCATCGGTCGCAAGCCCAAGGTGACATTTGAATACTCTTTTTGAAAATAAAATGGCAGAGAATGATTCGGTTACTGCGTGCCCATCCGGGGCCAATAGTGATTTTGACTTTTATAAAGCCAAAGCGGACTCGGTTCTTCGACAGCTAGTGGCTTTAAATGACTTTTTCGGTTCAGAAGAGGCGTCTCATTTTGACGAGGCCGACCTTCAAGTCAGGCTTGAGCTTATTGAAAAAATGCAAGATAATTTTGATAAGTCTCAAACAGCTGTCGAAAGGCTCAATCTACTAGAGCTGGCTAGTGATGTGCGTGCAAAATTTCGAAACATTTATTGTGCGGTGAAATCCAAAATCTCTCGCGAACTAGCAAAACTCCGCCGAGTGTCAGTGATAAATTCGACTGCACTCCCAAATTTCAACATCGAGCAGGCTTCAACCTCCAGGGCTGGTGTTCGGGCCACTAGGCTGCCTGAGTTTAAGCTGCCACGATTTGGAGGCGCTTATATGGACTGGCCAGATTTCTACGCTATGTACACTACAGTCATCGGCAACAACGAGGACCTGACCAATTTGGAAAAATTCCAGCATCTACGCTCCTGTTTGGATGGCCCCGCGTTAGACACAATTCGCTCGCTGGAGCCAACAGAGGCCAATTATGAGAAGGCAGTCGACCTATTGACTGCTAGGTTTGATAACAAACTTTTGCACTTTCAGGGGCACATACGATCTATTTTCAGGCTTTCTAGTGTGGTGAAAGGGTCGGCAAGGAGTTTGCGGCAATTGAGCGACGGCATCAACTCTCATCTGCGAGCCCTTAACACAATGGCAACCACCCAGGAGATTGCGGATGGAATGCTCATATCCCTGGTGTCCTCCAAACTGGATCAGCATACCCAGGAGAAGTGGGAAGAGGGATTGCCTACCAATAAGCTGCTAAAATGGACGGATATGGCTGCCTTTTTGGAGAAGAGATGTCGGATGATGGAAAACATTGAAAATGCTATGGTAACCCACACACCTAGCAACCAGGTGGGAAAAACTATAAATAAAAATGTCCAAAACGCTTGCACCGCATCATCCTACACCTCATTATGTATTTTGTGTGATTCTAAGGATCACTTTATTTCGAAATGTCCACAATTTATCGCCTTGAGTCCCACATTACGCTACAAAGAAGCAAAAAGGCTACATCTTTGCCTAAATTGCCTGCGTAAAGGCCACAGCCTGCAGCAGTGCAAAGCTGGGAACTGCAGGCATTGTCGCTCTAAGCATCATACATTGCTACATTTGGAGTCAAATCCTGCTTCATCACCCTCGCAGCCTACATCCACTTCTGCTCCTCAAAATAGTGCCTCGCTCATTTCTGCTTCGCCAAATTCACCCCCACCTAAAGCCTCGGTAGATCATCAATCTGATTATGTGCTTCTTGCCACTGCCATCATATATGTCCGAAATCGTTCCGGCATAATGGTGCCCTGCAGAGCCTTGCTCGACTCTGCATCGCAAATTAACTTCATTACTTCTCGACTCGCTCATCAATTGCAACTGTCAACTCGTCGCTCAAATACATGCATCTCAGGTATAGGAGAGTCTTCACTCATGGCTGATAAGGCGGTAGATATTATTGTACAATCTCGCAACAAAGGTTACCGAACATCATTCGCTGCAATAATGACTAGCACCATCACAAATTATCAGCCGCATTTCGACCTAAACTCTTCCGAATGGAACATCCCCAACAACTTATTCCTCGCCGATCCGCTCTTTCATAAAAGTCAAAGGATTGACATTCTTATAGGAGCTGGAATCTTCTTCGACCTGCTTTGCGTTGGGCAGATACGGCTGGCCGATCACTTTCCCTCCTTGCAAAAAACTAGATTGGGTTGGGTAGTATCCGGTGGCATATCTTCGCCGGCCCATAAACACTCTTCTCTTCCCGCATTGTCAGTTGAGCACGATGTACAATTGGAACCTGAATCGTTGCCGGACCTTGTCAAACGGTTTTGGGAAATTGACAGCTATTGTGGATCGTCATCTGCTCCAACTGATGAGGATGCCTTGTGCGAGAATTTATTTGCTCAATCTTATTCTCGGCTTGAGTCAGGCCAATATTCAGTTCGATTGCCCGCAAAGACTAGTCTAGATATGCTAGGAGATTCATACCATCGTGCTTCGCAGCGATTCAAATCATTGGAATCCAAATTGGCTAGAAATCCTAATCTC